TTCAGTTAATAGAAAAATTTTGAGAAAAAACAAATTTAGGAGTTTAAAATTATTAAAAAAACTTACAATTCGCTTTTTCTCAAACACTCTCAATTTTTCCGTTACACTGAAAGAAGTATTACACTCAGTATCCGATTTGGCACCTAAGGAAGAGTTTTGTTACGAACAGCATTTTTTCATTGTGCTTCATTGAGCCACAATCTGAAGAGTCTGCAAAAAGGCATTTCAGGATGGATACAGAACAATAAATTTAGTTTTGCAGTTAACTGCAAAGCTAAGTTCAGATGCTCGAATCTCTACTCGTACAAATTGATTTTGTGTTCTTCGATAGCTTTTATTTGGAATACTATAATGGAATATTTTTCCGCTTGTATTCTGACAGAATAAAGCTTATGTCAACCCAAATTTTTGTCCATGAAACCTCATTCAAAAATCGCTAAAACTTCATAATATAGACAGTCCGATGTCCTCGATTTGATGTTTCTTCAACGGACAGTAATCTTTTTCCGCCACCTCCTAAATAAATTTTGCGATGTAAAAGAGAAGAAAAACATTGTTTTGATCGCTAGTCTTCTGAGAACATCCCTATTCCGAGTCGTGAATACGGAAAAATAAGAAAAGTACGAGAGCAGTTTGGTGCAAAACTTGTAAAATCTATAATTTTAGAAGTATGTGGTTCAAGGATTTAATCCTTTACAGTCTAATAGAAAAGGAGATTTTCTACATCGCAGATATCCACGTTAGTGGCTTCAGATCGGTTTAACATAACTTGCACAGTTTTCAACACCGAACAGAGCTCTACAAATACCTAAAAAAAATCATTTTATACATGTTGATGAGCGAACTATAGCGATTATATGTGTCGCTGGCTCCCTGAACACGCCATTTTATCGTAAATAGAAACTCAATTCTTTTGTACTCCAACAACGATAGGCATTATGAGAGAGCTGGAAAAAAATTTTAAAGTGCACGAACCTGTCCGGAATTGTCCCAGAAACAATTCTCATATCTAAACATTTGTATTTGATATTCATAAAGGAAAAAAGCTTTATTTGCCACTGATAGCATTTAATCAAGTCAAATGAAACATATTCGAAATCGCGACGTAGCGCATATGTTGCGGAAAAGCAAGTTCAGGTGGATAAATATTTTAATAAAGGTTAATCTCAGTCACTTCGTTGACTTTAGTTGGTTACCAATAATCTTCAGCATTGGAATAAACAAAATGTAGCGTAATATGCAGATGCAGGAAAAATTATGTCTGGGACCAGAAAACTTTAAAAAGTGGTGGGGCAAGTTCGGCTGGGCCATAAAAATTCCAAGATTGGACGGGCCGGGCTCGCTAAATTCCACGTTTAGTCTGATTGAGCCGGGTTGGTCGGAAAGTTTCCTCATCGGGCAGCGCCAAATATTTCCGGCCCATCCAGATCTCTAGTTAGTATGTCCCTCACAGTGCTACCGTTTATCTGTGATTAATTAGAATATTTTCCAACTTAACAAACTATCATCCTGTAGAGCAACAGTCTTCTACAAATTGGTATACTTGCTCAATTGTCGCCAGCTCGTCTTCACTCTTTTAGACAACTAAACTGAAATTAAAAGAAGGTTTTCTGAAGATCTCCAGTCAAACATTGATCACATGGTATTGGAATATCGCCAAGCCTCTACGTTTGTTCAATCTACAGTTCTCTATCCAACCACGTGTGAACCAAATCTCCATCTCTCAGCTGAGCTGAGCTGAGCTACATTCATTTGAAAAAAAGTTGAATCTTTTAAATTTTAAATTAAGTTGAAAAATTGAAATTTTTAGTTGAAGCCTTGATTTGATTTTCAAAATGTTTGCCTTTCGACGCTGAATCCGAACATGTTATTTAAAATGTTTCATGTCCTAATGATGAACTTTAAAATCAATTGTCGCCAGCTAGTCTTCACTCACGTTTTTGCAGTGACACAAAGAAAACATTTGAACTACTAAAAATAGTTCTCTACTTCGAAAGCTTTTCACGTACAGTCGTTATAGCTGACTCGATCACACGCCGAGTAGGATGAGCAAGCGGCAATGTTCTTCGCACGATACTAAGCGCCTTTTCATAAGATTCCAATGCTTTCTCATAATCACCTTGATTCCTGTAAACTGATCCGATGTTACTATATGTTGTTGCAATAGATGGGTGATTTGGTGGAAGTGAAATCAATTGAATTTCAAGAGATTTTTCACAAGATTTCAATGCTTTCTCATAATCACCTTGATTGTCATAAACCAGTCCGATGTTATTATATGTTGTTGCAATAGATGGGTGATTTGGTGGAAGTGAAATGAGACTGATTTCAAGATCTTTTTCATAATATTTCAATGCTTTCTCATAATCACCTTGATTGTCATAAACCAGTCCGATGTTATTATATGTTGTTGCAATAGATGGGTGATTTGGTGGAAGTGAAGTCAATTGAATTTCAAGAGATTTTTCACAAGATTTCAATGCTTTCTCATAATCACCTTGATGGTCATAAATCAGTCCGATGTTATTATATGTTGTTGCAATAGATGGGTGATTTGGTGGTAGAGGTGGGACAGTTCCAGTTACCGTTCCTAGTAACTGGAACTGGTGACCAGTTACCGTTCCTAGTAACTGGAACTGGTGATCAGTTACCGTTCCTAGTAACTGGAACTAGTGACCAGTTACCGTTTTCTTCACAATCAAGATGGAGAAAAATTT